ATAATTCTGAGATTCGATTCAATTTTTGATTTAGCATGGAAGGAACAACGGCTCCGGCGGAGGAACCAATCGGAAGTGTTGCGACGACGACTACGATGATTGACCAGACTTATGAGTTCTTAGCGCCGCGATGGTTCGATTTCGTTAACGGAGAGACTGAAGACGAGGCTCGTCGAGCGGAGCTCTGGTTTCAATCGGCTTTAAGCTGTGCTCCTTCTCGTGAGTTTCTTTGCTCTCTTTTTTTTTGTGCTTGAGTTCTAGATTCTAGGTTTCGGAACAAGAAGGGGATAAGATCGATTTCAGATCTGTGGTCTGGATTTCTGATCTGATCTCAATTTTGTGGATTTCAATTTTGTTGTGACGAAGATCATTGGGTAACTAGGGTTTTTGTTGAATTCTGTTCTGCGAATCGAAATTGGGAATTGAACGTTGACAGTAATATCCTGACTCTGTAATTTCGTCTACAATTGGATCTTTAAGATTGTGGGAAAAATGTGGTTTCTGTGCACTGAATCAAGCCTACTTCAAGTTAAAAGTTGTTTTCAACTTATTCTATAATGTGCAGCTTCGGTTCCTAGAATCAAAGCAAGAAGATCATTCAAAGTAGAGACCATGTGCAACTTCAATGAAGAAGAAGAAGAGAAACCGCTCAAGGTTTGCTTCAATCAAACAATGCTTTTATTCATTACAAGTTTAGATAAATTTTTTAATCTTCTGATTATGTGTACTTTGCAGGATAAAGAGCCGTCAGAACCTGTAGCTGCAACTATATCTTCACAATCGGAGCCTAATATCTCTGAGGCCAAGAAAGAAGAAGTTATTAGTCTTGCTGAAGAAAGCACAATTAAGTCATCTCACAACAAAGATGCAAGGTTTGTATCGTACTTTGTGAGATTGTAATGGCGTTAAGTGAGATGAGTGGCTCTTCTAATACTCTTTCTTCTTGTTCATTCAACAGTAATATCGGGGATGCGTCGACTGAGCAGATAGAAAACAAGGAGAACATTCCTCCTACTAACAAAGAAGCTTGCACACCCAAACCGCCACTGCAGTTATCTCACGGAGGAAAGTCAATGGACCTTAAGAAGCAGCAAACTGGTAGAAAGATAGCTAGTCTGGTGAGGAATCCATCTGCACTTAGGCCAAAAAACCAGTCACAATCGTCTCAAGCCAAAAGCAGTCATCAGAAAAGTGTGAAAAGGTAGCTTACATTCTGATTAACCATTTTGGTACCCGAATCTGGTTTTCTGATAATCGTTTTCTGATGCATTGAATGGCTAACTGCAGGGAAACTAGTGTTAAAAACACAGCTGCTAATACCAATCTGATTCAGGAAAATCAAGCCATCAAAAGGCAAAAGCTAGACGACGGAAAATCAAGACAGGTGAGCCAAATTGTTTCAATATCAGCAGGCTGCACTCCATATCTCACTGTATGATACTGAAACTTTATCTTCCTCATCATTAGATTCTCAATCCAAAACCAACAACTCTGCTCCACAAGACAAGAGATGGTCTTGTTAACACTGGTTTCAACGTATGCCCTTCAGTCACTAAGCAAACTCAGAAGGAGAACAGAAAGGTGCGTTCTGCTTCATGGATGCTTATATAAATTTTCTGTCAACCTTGGATCTCAACTCTTTGTTTTCACTATTAAGGTTTATGTCCGTGACCAAATTACACCTTTCATTTCAACTGCTGAATTGATGAAGAAGTTCCAAACAAGCACCCGAGACTTGTCACTGCCTCATGCTAACATTTCTCTTCCACAGGTAAAAAATATACTATTGATAGTTTCACTGATTCCTTTTAGTTTTCTTGGAATCTCTTCAACTAACTCCCAGGATGATGCTGCTTTCCTTGTCCAGAACCGACCTAAGCTGACACTGACAAGACCGAAGGAACCCGACTTTGTAACATCCCAACGGGCTCGTCCTTTGAGAGTGAAGAGCAGTGCAGAGCTTGAGGAAGAGATGCTGGCAAAGATTCCCAAGTTTAAAGCTCGACCTGTGAACAAGAAGGTAATGCATTTGGTTTCAATGTGGTATATCTGTACTTCAGAAAAAGAAATCTAAAACAAAAACAATGCGTTCTCTTATTTGATGCAGATTTTGGCAGCTCCAGCTTTGCCTGCACCACAGAGAAGCACACCACATCTGCCAGAATTTCAGGTCGACACACCGCAGCAGAGAGTATCATCTTTTTAGAAATGAATCTGTTATTTGATCTACAAGGGGCTCATATCTTACCATTGCAGGAATTTCATCTCGAAACAATGGCGAGGGCTAGCCAACATGCAGAGACATGTTCAATAGCTTCAACAGAAGTGTCTAAGCAGGTATAGAGCTTCTCCTTTACCCGCAGAAATGTTTTATAGTTGGTTTCATGCCATCTGATAGATATGCTTCTGTTTTCCTCGCATGCAGCATAACGATTGGAAGCCTCATCTTACTGCACCAAAGAGCCCTGCACTCCAAACAATGCTAAGAGCTCGTCCTACTAAAGCAAAAACTACTGCGGAACTTGAGCAAGAGGAACTCGAGAAGGCACCAAAATTCAAAGCAAAACCTTTGAATAGAAAGGTACTACTCAAGCGGTGTATTTACTACTACTATCTACGTCATTTATCTCTCTCGATTTGACTTGGAATCACATCAACTCATCCAGATATTTGAAAGCAAAGGAGAGATGGGAATCTTTTGCAACACCAAGAAGCACATAACCATACCTCAAGAGTTCCACTTTGCGACAGATGAGAGGATTTCACGACCAAATTCTGTGTTAGATATATTCGACAAAGTATACTTTAACTAACAAAACCCACTCCATGCAATTGTTCTTTAGTTATGTTCCACTGGATATAGCGGTTTTTGACATAACGTTTTTTTTTGTCAGCTCTCATTGAACTCCGAATCTTGCCATGAAAAGTCCCTACCAAGGAACACAGCTCCAAACCCCTTCCATCTTAGGACAGAAGTATGTGTACAGCAAACATTAACTCTTTAAGGTCAAAAGTAGTATCCATCAATTTTTACTGACCGTTCTTTTAACTTCTTTCTGGCATCCAGGAACGAGGCGCTGAAAAAGAGAAGAGGTTTGTAATGGAAGTCACACAGAAACTGATAGGAGATGAAAGGGCCAGGGTTCCAAAAGCAAACCCATATCCTTACACAACCGACTATCCCGTGGTAAGCCATTCCTTCCTTGCTTTGGTTTTATAGTTGTGAAAGAGATGATTGGATGGCGTTGAAAATCTTACGTGTTCCAACTCTCAGGTACCACCAAAACCAGAGCCTAAGCAATGCACAAAACCAGCACCATTTCAGTTGGAGAGTTTAGTGAGGCACGAAGATGAAATGCGAAGAGAAATGGAAGAGAGGATGAGAATGGAGAGAGAAGAAGCCCAGAAGAGGCTCTTCAAAGCACAACCAGTTATAAAAGAGTATGTGACCTCCTCCTGCCCTTAAGCTATTTTTGACTTTATCAACGTTTCAAAACGCTTACGATGGCTTGATCACAGGGACCCAATCCCTGTTCCAGAGAAAGTACGAAAGCCCCTCACAGAAATCCAGGAGTTCAATCTCCATGTAGAGCATCGAGCAGTCGAGCGAGCAGACTTTGATCATAAAGTAAGGTTTTCAGTCATTTCAACTTACAAAAAAAATGATTACATAAACTCTGTAATTGACAAATTGCCATTCTATTTTGAAACCAGATCAAAGAGAAGGAGAATCAGTACAAGAGATACCGTGAAGAGAGTGAAGCTGCAAAAATGGTATGCAACATTATACTTGTACACACTTAACTTGCAAATATATTTCATAAAACTTTGCTAAAATATAACATACCTGAAAACGCATGTCAGGTGGAGGAAGAAAGATATCTGAAGCAAATGAGAAAGACAATGGTTCCTCATGCTAGACCTGTGCCTAACTTCAACAAGCCCTTCTTACCTCAGAAGTAAGTTCAATATTAAAAATTTATAGCACCGATCTTCTTTCTCTTGTTACCTAGTATTGATTAAATAAAACTACATGGCATACACACAGGTCCAACAAGGAGACCACAAAACCAAAATCACCCAATCTAAGAGTGGTCAAAAGAACCCAGCGAAGAACGATGATGGCTCGACCAACTGTGTCTGCAGCTACCAGCGCCTCTGCTGGTCAGATGAGGTAGTTGTGAAGCAGAAGCAGCCTGAAACGTTCATGAATACTTGAACCTATGTATTTCTTTTGTAAATTGATTGAGCACTAAATTTTCCTTGCTAGTATAGTAGTAGTCATACATTCTCTAATGTAACCATGATTTAAATGAGCTTTATTAATCATATAAAATTTGTTTCTTATCTGACACAAACATTAGAAAGCCAAATATTTTGAAACAATGCTATTAAAAAAAAAAAAAGGACTGAGAACACAATCTAGACCATATCAGTCTAATTCATTCATAATTATGCATTGTCTGAATCACTAGCTCCAACTTGTTTCTACCCAATTTGCTTTTGCCGGTACACTACAATCTGAAAGAAATCAAACAAGGGAAAGTTTCAAATGGGATTTCTAGAATTAAATTAGATGAATTGTAGACATTAATAATAGTGACAGTACCAAATATTCAAGGCTTGAAATGCAGTCAACTTTGAGCTTAGCCAAGGTTTCATCATCTTTAAGACTCTGCAACTTCTCTGTTGATGCTGATGAAGGATTCTCAATTTCCCTATCCTCTCCTTTAGACATTAACAATTCAACCTCTTCAGCCTTCAATTGCATTTGGAGTGCTACAAACTGTTCAACGTTTAGGTAACACAAGTATCAAATCCATGTTAGTTATTGCAACAAACTTGGTTTTCAGTCTCATAACAGAGGAAGAGAGAGAGAGAACTAACTTCACGGAGTTGTTTCACTAGCAAAGTGGGTCGGCAACAGAGATATGGCTGAGGTAAGTCTGGTAAACATTTTGTATCCAGCGAGACAAGCTTAAGATGAATATCCAACTGCAGAAGGGATTAAGTTTACCCAACTAATCATTGGCATTATTATCTCTAAATCTGTAACGCATGTCAAGAAAAAGCATTTTCTTTTGTTACCTCGACATTGTTACCCTCTAAGCTCCTGAGATATTCCACAAGTCTATTCAAGCGAGCATTCCTCACAATCCTATTATTAGCTCCTAAGTTATTATTCCCATGCCTTGTATTGCTACTCCTTGTACCGCCTCTTCCCCATGCAAGTATTTCTGGGTTCCACACAAGTCCGGGTGATATCCCTCTCCTGTCTCTATGCGCCTCCTCTGGGACATTATCCGCATAGTTATTGTTGTTTTTCTTTGCACTTGAAGAAGAAGGGTGAACTGTAGGACGACTTGTAGAGCGCCTTCTTCGTTTTCTCTCCCGGTTTTCGGCACAAGGCTCATCTGAAGAAGAATCTTCGCCTCTGTTATTATTATCATCGTCATCATGGGCTTCTGATGTATCCATTTCCAAGTTTCTGCAGTTCCTTCTTCTTCTGGAGCCACTACCAATACGCTGTGATTTCCGTAAGACTGCTGCATCTTTACCAAGAGATTTTCTTTTCACAAGGGCCTCAGATTGTCGTTGCGATACTTGAGCTATAGATAATTGAATCTACAAAACATCCATAGGTACAAGGAGAACAGCACAAATTGCTTAGTCACAATAGAGGCATCAAATGTACTTATGTTACATGAAATGAAAGGCATTGCCTTGGGGTTTCTGACCTGCTTATTACGAGCCTCGTCATCTTCATGGAAAGCCAATTCCTGAACAAAAAAAAAGAAAGAAAACGATATAACAAAAGCAATCTCTCACAAGTAACCCTTCTCTAAATATGTTGAAGGGGGAAAAGAGAAATGATGATGCTTCACCTCCGCCTCAAATCTATCAATATTTTTGAATAAGGCTGCAATAAAGGTATCAAAATTGGGGTCGTCTCTTAAAGAACGTCGGCTTGCACAATGTTTCCTGCAAGCAGGACACTCATTGTTCCTGAAAATGCATTTGTCAGTTAATAAAATTGTCAGTTAATAAAACAAGCTTTACAATAGGCTCCCGAAATAATGCTGTGCTGAACATGTAAATGGAAGGCATACCCCAATCTCATTGACTTATCAATGCACTCTCGGCAAAACCTGTGGAGACATTCCATCACAGTCCTAGTTTTCTTTATAATTCCTGGAAAATGAAAACCAGTGGTTGAATCAGTTGAATTTAGTAAAGCGTAGAGTTGATGAAATATAGAGTGAATGACTATGTAAAAACAGGATTATGAGAAAATTTGGCAATCCAAGAGCAGTTAAAACTGATTGACTTTGAAATATAAATGTGGGAGAAGAATGATTACCTAAACATATCGGACATTGCACGGCCCTACGGATATCCCCTAGCTTAATATCAACATCTCTGCAAGAAAAATTCAAGACTTTATCAAAATGTAAAGATCATCAACTAACCATTGCCTACTGTAAGTAGCCAGACTTAGTCAAAAACTGATGTTAAGCTAAAAGAGACTCATGAACACAAGAAGCTTAAGTCTAATGGATGATAATTCATCTCAAAATCAACCTTCACAATGTCATACTCACTGCTACCTGCAGATCAAACCTAAGCACTTAAATTGTTCTTTCACTTTGAACTGAAAAATTTGTGATTTTTTAGAAGAAGCACGATAGTACTTATAACATGCAAGCAAGAACCAGACAATGCTCGGATCAATGAAACAAATCACAAACTAATAGAATGTAAAACTAATAGAGGACAGTGATTCTGCTTCAAACCCATCAAATGTGAAACCAATAATCAGAAATGTCAAATCTGGTACAGAGAAACGAGCAGGTAAGGGAAGAGAATTGTTACTCTGAGTCTGATTGCTCTTCTGATGTAGAAGATTCACTCCTTTCCTTAGAATCTGAAAAATTGAAGTCGATAACTTTCACGTTATATGCACATACATACTCACGCATTGATTGATTCCACATAACTCACATACGTATTCAAGATTATAGACAAGAAGCAAAGCAAAAGCCCTTAC